AAAAAAAAAAAAAAAAGCAAATAAAAATAAAGATTTTCATCAAAATAAAAATCTATTCTGTAACCTGATTTAATATCTTCAAATTCTGTCACTTCAACTCTGGTCAAATAATGCAGTGCCTCTTCGTCCTCCTCCCCAAGCAGTGCAGACACTTGTGGATGGTTGACAAATGTTACCCAAAAATGTGAGATTTTGGCAATCAATTCTGACCTCTTCTGAAGAAATGGTTGGCGGAGTTTGTTATATTTCTGTTCTACTTTCAAAATCTCCTCACTGGCTTGTTCATTAAGTCTGTCTATTTCATTTTGTACTTCATCAGTGTGTTCAATTGCGTCTTGCTGTTCTTTTTCTCCCTAGGCCGATGTCTCCTCCAGTCTCTGAGCAGGAGGTGGTCTTGGTTTCTTCTTTTGAGGCGGGAGTGGAGACTGGCGTTTGGAGGCCATGCTGCTGGGGAAGTCCGAGAACCGGGGCACAAGTCTTCTTGCTCGTCCAGAAGCAGGCAGAACACTCGTATGATTATATATATAAGCTAGATATAAGTAAGCAGTGAGTTATACTTCAGGCACTAATTGTGCCTGGGGTCTGCACAGTTCTTCCTCCGTGCCCCTGGGGGGGTGTTACTCATAGCTGCTCAAGAAATGGTAGCAGCTTTCCCCATTAAGAAAGTTGGAAGGGGGCTGGGTATGATGGCTAGCGCCTACCATCCCAGCACTTTGGGAGGCCGAGGCGGACGAATCACCTGAGGTCAGGAGTTCAAGACCAGCCTGGCCAACATGGCAAAACCCTGTCTCTACTAAAAATACAAAAAAAGGCGGGCGCAGTGGCATGCACCTGTAGTCCCAGCTATTCAGGAGGCTGAAGCGGAAGAATCGCTGGAACCCAGCGTGAGGCTCCGTCTCAAAAAAGAAAAGAAAAAAGAAAAGATGTTTTGGAAAGGAGTGCCGCCTTACTGACAACCATTGCTGGGCACGGTAGAGATCCCAGCAGCAACATAATTGGGCCGGCGGGGGACTGCAGTTTCCCGGTTCCCCAAGCCGCTGGGAAGATCGGTGATGCACAATCCCCTTGCCCTTCGGCCTTGCAGGTTACTTCGGTTGCTAAGCAACAGGGACTTCCGGGAAGGCCCGGAAGTGGCCCGAGGCAGTCCTGCACCGGAAGCTGAGTGGTGGGCGGGGCGGAGGGGCGGAGGTGGGGGCGCCTGCCTTAAGTCATTTTAAAGGCTAGTAAATAGAATTAAGCATTGGTTTCTGTCAGACAAATAATTTCATTGCACGTTTAAGGCCTCCAAAGATAATATCCTTTATTCTGCGAATTTCCTAGGCGGTCACAGATTCCCCTCCTGTTGTTTGATTACAAATTCTACTAGCAAACAACACCTGCTGCAGCGGAACTGCTTAGCATCCTTTACTAATAGGATTATAGCACATATTTGTGGAGCTGCCGTATAGACCAGGCACCACGCTAAGCACTTCGCATTGATAATCCTATTTCTTCCGCTGTGATATAGACAGGGTTCCACTGTGTGGCCTGATGCAGGCGGCAACAACTCTGCCGACCTGGAAGAACTCAGCCCTGACACTTTCGTCTTTAGGTGGTTGCTTAGCAGTCCCCAGTGACTTTCTCTAAGGACCCCAAAGCAAGCTTTTCTCCTAAAGTAATTGAACTCCTTTTTTTTTTAATGTGTTGCAAATATTTTCTTCCATATCTGTCATTTGTGTTTTAACCTTGATGTTTTCCATCACACAGAAACTTTCAACATTTTTTGGTTGCAAAATTTGCTTATCTTTTCCCTTGTATCTTTTTTTTTTTTTTTTGAGACAGAGTTTCACTCTTGTTACTCAGGCTGGAGCGCAACACCGCAACCTCCGCCTCCTGGGTTCAGGCAATTCTCCTGCCTCAGCCTCCTGAGTAGCTGGGATTACAGGCACGTGCCACCACGCCCAGCTAATGTTTTGTATTTTTAGTAGAGAGGGGGTTTCACCATGTTGACCAGAATGGTCTTGATCTCTTGACCTCGTGATCCACCCACCTTGGCCTCCCAAAGTGCTGGGATTACAGGCTTGAGCCACCGCACCCAGCCTTCTCTTTTATCTTTTAAGTCTCATGTTAACGTTTAGAAAAGACCATCCCACACCAGAGGTATAAGTGTTTTTTTGAGTAATTTTGTAGTGTACTTCCCCTCTGGAACTAATTTGTAGGGACGCTGTGAGGTAGAGATTTAACATACTTTGTTTTTTTGTTTGTTTGTTTTTTGAGATGGAGTCTTGCTCTGTCACCCAGGCTCGATCGCAGTGGCGCGATCTAAGCTCACTGCAACCTCTGCCTTTCAGGTTCATGCGATTCTCCTGCCTTAGCCTCCAGAGTAGCTGGGACTGCAAGCATATACCACCATGCCCAGCTAATTTTTGTATTTTTCTTTGACACAGGGCTTCACCATGTTGGCCAGGCTGCTCTCAAACTCTTGACCTCAGGTGATCCACCTGCCTCGGCCTCCCAAAGTGCTAGGATTACAGGCGTGAGCCACTGTGCCCAGCAGAGAACTAACTTTGATAGCTAGTGCTCTCAAAGTAGTTTATTAAATAATCCATCCTTTTCCCCACTTAAAACATCCCTCCTACCATATACTAAATCCCTGTAGCCCTGGGTCTGTTTCTGGACTCTCCTGTCTGTCTGACCCCCTCCAGGTCACACTGCGTGAGGTAATGGTGGTGCGAGAGTCCTCTGGGAATCTGGCAGGAGTGTCTTTTCCCCCTCAGCAGTCCACCCCCCAACTTACCATCATCGTTGAGTGGTCTTAGTGTTCTCACACATTCACTCTCCCAAATGCACTTTACAACTGTCCAATTCCAAAGTATCAATCTCACTGGAATTACACAATTTATCAGCTGATTTGGGGAAAACCAGTATGTTGAGAGGAACGTGATGTATGTCATTGGGTCGCCTTACAGAATGCTCTGAACAAGTCTTCAGTTGATTCTCTTAGATTTTACAGGTAGGCAGTTTTATTGTCTACAAATAACGATATTAGAATTATTCCTTATCTTCCTCATCTGCCTTGTTGCAGGAGTTAGTAGTGCTGAGACATTGCTGACAAATAGCATGCCCTTCGCTAGTTTCTGACTTTAATGGGGATGCCTGCGGCATTTGACCCTTTAGAATGCCAGTAACTGTTGGTTTCTGACACAGAACTTTACCTAGGTTAGGATGTTTCTTTCCAGAGTCAATTTACTAAAAGTTTTAATAAGGGATGGATTTGAAATCTTACCAAATATCTTTTCAGCATCTATAGAGCTATCGTAGATTTTTCCTTATGAACTGAAGCTGAAACGAAGACTCCTGCACAGCCATCCTGCCTCCTCACTTACTCTACATGCCCCTAGTCCCCGTGCCAGGAACTGAATCCCTCTGCAGAGGGATAGACCAAAGGTGAAGCGTCAAGGCCTGCCTGCCAGGCATGGTGCTGAATGCCTTCTCAAGCTGCCCAAGCACATGGGTTCTTGGAGGCTTTCCTTTCCAGAGAAAGAAAGTAGGAATCCCCACTGCCTGCCAGAACAAAAGCTCTTAGGGACAGCAGCGTACACAGCATGGAAGCCAAAAGGATTTAGGCAGGGCGGAGGACCCCACACCCCTGCCACCATCCCACAAATCAATACACAGGCCACGTGCCCAGTTTGCCAGGGGTCTTGCTACCTGAAGTGACCTATGACCTCCAGCAAATCCTTCCTGCCACTCTGCAGCCTCTTGGCCAGGGCGTGCAGGACAGGCGGCACTTAGAGCAAAGCCATCACAAAAAGCAGTGAGGCCTTTGGACTCCTAGGAGACACTGTGATTCCTTCTGCTGCTCCACCCCACTGCTAACTCTGGGTCCCCATCCCTCTCCTTCCAGAGTCACTCTGACCCTGCTTATCACACCAGGACATGGAGTCTCTAAATAACCATAGGATTCCCCTAGAGCCGGCTGTTGCCCACAGTGACCCTGATGCTGGGCTGTTACCCACGTAGCCACCCTTACCTCTTCTGTCTGCTTCCACTTCTCCTATATCCCCTTTTGGAAAAAGGATGGGTGTCTGAGCCTGTGCCCAGCTCGGTGTCCACTCACAACCCAAAGCAGAGCCTGGCACTGCCCACTCTGACCAAGGGCTTTCTCTCCCTGATCTCACTGGCATCTGCCCTATTTACCCATCACTGGGTTTGTGGGTTGCCCCTGAAACACAGCAGCAGCAATAAACAGAAAATGAGGGCAGAGCCCAGTCTGTCACAGTTGTGGGAGGCAGATCAGGACAGGATGCCCATGTGGCTTGTCCAACGATCTTCATGTTAAGAGGCAGTCAGTCCCTGTGAATGAACTTTCTCTTCAGGCCACAGGCAGCCCTAACCCAAGCGGAGGCGAAAGGTAGCGATCTCCATGGGCTCCAAATAGACGTCAGTACTGTTAGATGGGGAGGCCAGAGGGTACAGTAACGTCAAGGAGGTTGGCTGCAGGAATAGCACGTCCAGGCCATGGAAAAGGCTCCCCAGGGCTACCTGTGGAGAAGAGAGAAGGTGCAGGATTGTGCTGGCTGTTCCAATTTGTTACCTCTTTAAGAATCTCAGCTAGGTGTGGTGGCTCACACCTGTCATCCCAGCACTTTGGGAGGCCAAGGCTGGCGATCACCTGAGGTCAGGCGTTTGGAGACCAGCCTGGCCAACATGGAGAAACCCCATCTCTACTAAAAATACAAAAATTAGCTGGGCATGGTGACAGGCGCCTGCAACCCCAGCTACTCAGGAGGCTGAGGCAGGAGGATTACTTGAACCAGGAGGTGGGGGTTGCAGTGAGCCGAGATGGCACCACTGCACTCCAGCTCTGGCCCCTCTCAGCAACACCATGCCGTCTTACATATGAGTGTACATCCAGTCTCACAGGCTTGCTAAGATCTGCTCACCCCTAAAGCCTGCCTACAGATCTCAGGGTAGGAACCATTCCACCGAGCTGTGAGCTCTGTGAGAACAGTGACCATACCTTGGTTCACTTCTGAAACCCTGGAGCCTAGCAGAGGACCTGGCACCCGGGGGGCATTTTCCCCGTGCCAGCTGACATGAGCTTAAAAAGCAACAACAGAACGGGTTCTGGTTTTCTATTTCTGGTGTTTTCCACTTTGCTTGCTAGAGGTCCCTGCTCAGGGAACAAAGGTTCTCAAGCCACCTGCCTTGTCTGGGACTTCACCAGGCCTCAGGAGCTCGGAAAAAGTCTCCACAGCTCCCCCTTCTCTTCAGAAAGCCCTGGAGTGACACTTTCTTCTCCCAGCCTGTCACCGAATCTCAGCCCGGTCTTACCAGGCACCTGCCTGTCATTCCCAGGCGCCATTTCCCCGCCCTGCTCACCTTGCCTTGGCTCGTGGTGCAGTTGAAGCCCAAGTTCTTGGCCTCCAGGCCGCAGTCAAAACCTTTGCGGTGTAAGATGAGTGCGGTCTCCGCCGAGGGCAGGGTGTCCTCCTAGACAAGAGACAGTGCACGGGGAAGTGGGCACAGGCCTTTCAGAGCTCAGAGAGGCAGTGCTGGCACAGGGAGGTGTGTGGGTGAGGAAAGGCCAGAACCTGGTCCTAGAGGTTCAGTCCCGAGTGAGACACTCACCTCAGCCTGGAGCGTACGTAGGTTGAGCAGGTGGAAGTCACAGGGCAGTGAGGAAGCCAGAGGATGAAATGAGCGCAGATCAGGGCCTGGGAGCTGCGTCCTGGCTACAGGCAGGGCGAGTGCTGGGGTGTTCAGGTACATGGAGGTCAGGTGGCTGAGGAGGGACGGGTAGCTGGTGGAGTGGCTATCTTGCACCTGCAAAATTCACCCAAGACGTTGGTGAAGCCAGGCTGAAGGGAGAGGATGAGGTAGGATAAAAGCACACCCAGGTCAGTTCCTTTGGAAAGAGCTTTCCTTGCGTGCCTGGACTCAACGGCGAGCCTGGCTCCAGGTGACGTTCCCCTAACCCTTCAAGTGTGGACACTTCCTATCTCACCCGACTCAGAGGGTATTTCACTACACCATTTCTTCTCTACTTTTCAGTTCCTTGCTGGCATAACACTATCATGAGCCACCCAGTCTCATCAGCCACGTCTCCCCTCACACACAGGTCCACAGTGCAGGGAGGATGGCAGACAGGCAGACACAAGCCTCACCACAGAGCACGGGGCTCCAATCCAGAGTGCTCCAGGCAATCCTGTGGCTTCAAGTGTGACACTACATCCACCGTGCTAGCCTGGCTCCCAGGCCCAGCACTGCCAGGGCTATGCCAGCAGGGCTACTCCTTAGCAGCTCACCTAGACATGAGACTCACAGGCCTGGGCTGAATATTCTGGACTTCTGATCCTGGCATCCCCCTCCTTCCAAGCGCCCAGCATCTCTCACTTCCCTCTGCACTCCCAGGTAACGCTAAAGCCTCTTCCTTCTCACCATGGCAGTGTTCTCAGAGCCACCCCCAATTTATTCAGCATGTCCTGCCTGAATAGCTCTCACTGGGAGACCTCCAGTCTCCCTCCCCACAGGCCCAACCTGCTCCCTACTATCATTCTGACATGCTGACAGCAGAGTTCTGACAGTGTCCCTCCATGCTCAGCTCCTTCCTTAGCCTCCAGGATAAGGTCCAGACCCCTTAGCAGGCACTCAAGGGCTCTGCCGCCTGCCCTGATCTCCCCCAGTGCTCTAGACCAGCACAAGCCAAGAGAGCGTTCTGCAAGGATGGAAATAGCTGACACTGCATGCTCTAACACGGCAGCCACTTACCCACTTGTGGCCACTGAGTACTTGAAGTGTTGCCAGGAGGAATAAGAAAGCAATTTTTTACTTGATTCTGTTGTCATTAAATAGCCACACCGGGCGACTGGCCATCGTACTGACAGCAGAGCTCCAGTCTGTCTAAGGAACCCACTGCTGTTCCCTGACTCGTTGTCTCTCCTGCCTCCTACCCTACGGCTGGTTCACATGTTCAAACCACACCCCCATTCATCAACGCCACGCCTGGGTGACACCTCCTTGTCCTCCTTGGCCTACAATATTACGTTGCTCCTCAGGATCAGTGAGACAGAGCCCTTTTCTACTTTGCATTTTTACATACATGGCTTCTCTGCCACCCCTACTCACAAATAAACGCCTGGGAGAGTCAGCACTGTCTGCACTTATAAGTCCCTCTGGGTCCTCAAAGTAAAGCAGGTGCTCAGTATCTATCTGATGTGTGAGTGACTGAGCGGTGGGCTCTGTCGCCTGGGCTCCGGCGCAGCTACGCCTGGCTCGCACTAGTTCCCCGCTCCCAGCGCTGACCCTTACCTCTAGGTTACCGCTCCTGCTGCTGTGAAAGATCAAGCCCCTAAACATGGCTGCCAGTTTGGAGAAAAAGTCAGGCTGGTGGGGCAAAGAAAGCCATGAGATGAGCAGGGTTGGAGCACAGGCTTAGAGAATGCTGGGTCAGGGCAGAGAAGGGTAGCACAGAGGAAGGTGGGAGACGAACGTGAGGGGCACAGGCAACAGGGCACGGCTGGGAGAGGAAGGTGCCAGGCAGCGTGAAATGGGACACAAAATGCCAGACTGCCTCCCCCACCCCAGGAATTCAGCCCTACTTTCTCTAGCCCTTGCCCACCACCAGCTACGCTCCTCCAGCCCCAGGCTGGACCCCCCAGGCCACCCCCAGGGGCTAGCTAGACCTGGCCCCCTGGGCATCAGGCCCAGGTGTTACCTCGCTGCCTGCAGTGCGCCGCTCTAGGAGGAGGCGGAAACGGTTGCAGGTTCTCTTGTTGTCCTTGAGCCCTTGGCCTAAGCCCCTGTTGTCATCCTGCATCAGCCGCCGGTCCAAGATCACCTCCAGCTGGCCTGGGGAAGCAAACTGTGAGTGTCGCCTGCCCCTGCCCGCAAGCAGACACTGACCTTTGGAAAGAGAATCCCAGCCCCAGGCCCAGAGGGAAAGGCCCAGCTAGAGACAGAAGCTGAGTCACTCAGGAGAGGTCATGGGGCTCATCCTGTGCCCTTATTTTGCAGATGAGGAAACATGAGGCCCAGAAAGGGGCAGGCTGGCCCTGGCAGTTTACCCCCCATGCTCGGGCACTCAGGAGTAGGGACCGGGCCCAGGGGCCCACACAGGAAACCAAATCAAGATGGTTTACAAACAATAAAATAATCCAGAAATGAAAAGCTTAGATCAACAGCCATGGATAGTGTTGCTGCATACCTCTGTAATCTGGGGCAGGTTTGCTCAGGCTGGGCAGGTTTTCTTATGACTAAAACACATGCTTTCCTGCCCTTGTTCTACACTAGACAGCCAGACAGCCCCAGCAGGCCAGTCTTGGGCTTTTCCTGCTGACTGCCCATGTGTTAAAAGTAGGGCTGTGGAAAGGACACCCAGATGGCAAGTCAAGCTGAGGCTCATATTAAGTGTCATCTGGGGTTGCCCTGGGAAAAAGAGATGGCAGGTGACCACCTCTGCTTTCTTTTCTAGAATATGCTTGGAGCAGGGGCTTGGTGCATGGCCGTGTTGGGGACAGAGGCCCCAGTGTGTGCAGGTGTTGGAGGTAGCTACAGCTTTTCTTGTATAAGATCTCGAAGGAACCCACATTCCACAGGGACAGATGGCCCTTATTCTCTCTTCTTCTCTCTAGTCCTTACTAATGTGTGTAGTCGCTCAGTCTTTTTACCCAGAACAATCAAAGAAAGATGTCTGAAAATCCTAAAACAGATTCCTTGTATAGAAGACAGTTATTTCTTCACACACATATCCCAGAGGGGTAGAGGAGAAAATCAGTCAAGGATGTTAAGCTGCAGTGAGGAGTCATGACATAGATAGACCTGGGGCTGCTCCTGGCAGAGAAGGGCACACTCCTTCCACGATCACCAGCCATCGGGCCACACACAGCCTTAACCCAGAGACAGATCTCAAGCGTCTTGCCTGCCACCAAGTGCGAACTGTTCATTTTGCCCTGAGGATATGGAGGCCATGCAGAGCCTGCCAGTTTGACTAGCCGCCCGGGTGTGACTCCAGGCCAGTGCTCCCCATGCCTCTGTTTTGATTCTTAAGAATACCATTCTTGGCTGGGTGCAGTGGCTCATGCCTGTACTCCCAAAACTTTGGGAGGCCAAGGTACGCAGATCACGAGGTCAAGAGATTGAGACCATCCTGGCCAACGAGGTGAAACCATGTCTCTATTAAAAAATACAAAAGTTAGCTGAATGTGGTGGCGTGTGCCTGTAGACCCACCTAGAGTAGCTGGGAGGCTGAGGCAAGAGAATCACTTGAGCCAGGGAGGCAGAGGTTGCAGTGAGCCAAGATGGCACCACTGCATTCCTGCCTGGCAACAGAGTGAGACTCCATCTCAAAAAAAAAAAAAAAAAAAGGCCGGGTGGAGGCCAAGGCAGGCAGATCACAAGGTCAGGAGTTCAAGACCAGCCTGGCTAACATGGCAAAACCCCGGCTCTACTAAAAATATAAAAATTAGTCAGGCATGGTGGAGGGTGCCTATAATCCCAGCTACTCAGGAGGCTGAGGCAGGAAGAATCACTTGAATCCGGGAGGAGGAGGTTGCAGTGAGTCAAGATCACGCCATTGCTCTCCAGCCTGGGCGACAGAGTGAGACTCTGTCTCAAAAAAAAGAATGTCATTCTCTCTCTTAATGATCACTATTAGGAAAACCGTATGTATTTTTCTCATTTCCTTAATATTTCATCATAACACTGAGGGTACTTTACAAGCTGTCCCTACTCTCATCCCCACCCAGAAGAGGGTTGCACACCTCAGCTGAGAACCACTATTTAATATCCTGATGCTTCTTGCCTTTTTTTTTTAGACTCTGTCTCGCTCTGTCACCAGGCTGTAGTGCAGTGGTACAGTCTTGGCTCACTGCAGCCTCCAACTCCTGGGCTTAAGCAATCCTCTCATCTCAGCGTCCTGAGTAGCTGAGGCACATGCCATCACATCCAGCTGATTTTGAAATTTTTTTTGTAGAGCCTGGGTCTTGCTTTGTTGCCCAGGCTGTCCTCAAACTCCTGGCCTTCTGCCTTGGCCTCTCAAAGCGCTGGGATTACAGGAGTGAACCACTGTGCCTAGCCTTGCTTTTTGATAGTTTTTTTTCTTTTTTTTGGTCCCAAGAGTCGTAACCCTGACAGTTCTTCAGGGGATCCAAAAGGACACTCCACCCAGTTGCCTACACTGCTGCCTCTACCAGGAGACAGGGGGACAGCAGGTGCCTGCCTCCTGCGCAAGAGCTCTGAATGGCTTGCCCCCTTTCCAAGACTGGAGGTGATACAGACCAGAAAGAGGCAAGGGAGGCCAACAGAGCGGGAAGACCTGGAGGGTGGGACAGGCTTCTTTTTGTCTGATACCCTCTGTAGAGCTCCTGGCCCTACTCACCATCTTTGAGGCTAGCTACACCCAGGGCCTGGGCAGTGTGCAGAGTGAGGCGCTTCTGTGCATCCTGGATATAGGCCATGACTGGCATGGGGTAGAAGTTGGCCTGGAGGGGGAGCTTCTTCAGATACCGCCGGGGCTGCACCTGTGGGGGCAAGGCCAGCAGAGATCAAGGGAACCTGGGCACCATGTGGGCCCCAAGCGGTCCCAGCCTGGAGGAGTCCCTGATCATTCTCGCCTCTCATTCCTCTTTCTCCATCAGGACAGATCATCCCCCAAGGCCTGTGATATGGGCAAAAACACAGTCCAAGTTCTACTCTGTGGGGTCTCTAAGACTCAGACCCAGGAATCACCTGAAAGCCATTGAGGTCTGTGAAGAAGGTGCCCTGGCTGTTGATGTCTGTGTGGATGCGCAGGGCCAGCTCCTTGTTGACGTAGTCCCGGATGTCCACAAGGGATGACATGTCCAGAGACAGCCCCTCCACCCCTGGGCACAGGAACAAAGTGGGGTCATGGAGAGGTGTGAGGCTGAACCACAGCTGAGAGGCTGGGCTGGGGGGTTAGAGCTGAGCTGGGGAGAGGCTCTGTCCACCCTCCTGAGAAAGTCCCAGGGCACTTCTGGATGACTTTTTCTCCAAGAGAATGGAGCACCCCTGTCTCAAATGATACGCAACAGAGGTATGAACAGAGACACAGCAGAAGGAAGAATGCACCACAGCTGTGGAGCCCATGCCTCCTACCAGACGTGTCCTTGTGTGCAGGGCCCACCTGGCAGATTGTAAAGCCGGACCACCTGGTGAACATGCTCGTAGTACGCAACCACCTCTGAGTAGAAAGGGCCTTCAGTGACACGCAGCACGGGGGGCTCCTTGGGGACGTAGGGCTGGGGAAAGAGCGGACTGCTGTTGAACCCACAGCACAGAGGGCAAAGGGGGGTGGTGCCAGCCCAGGCCTGGGCAAGAGAGCACCTATTCCCAGATATCCCTAGGCTGAACGGCAAAGACAAGGCCCCCGGCAGGCAGCAATAAACCTGTGGGAAGGCCTGTGCCCCTCCTGCCCTCCCTGCTACTGAGGTCTCCTGGGGCCTGCCAGGTTTCTCAAGGCATCTTTAGGGTACCTTGGCCTCGCCATCAGGTAGGAAGAGGTAGGCTCCACTCTTGTCTTTGGACGTACGGGTGCCATAGACAAGGAACTCCATGTCCACCTGCTGCTCCTGCTCCTCATCCACCCTTCGGATGCTCTGCCGAAAAACATAGCCCTGACCCCTGGCCCCACACCAGCATGTCAGGCCTGCCTCCTGGAAGGACGTGACTAGCTTCCCCAAGGAGCCACGCCCAACTTCCCCATGCTGTCAACCTGGAGCTGAGATGGCCCAGGCTTGGGTCCACTGTGGGTCAGGTGGCAGCGTGCTCACAGGGCCGGCTCTGCACAATGCCACCACCACGCATGCCTACTCTGGCCCTAGCCCTTCTCCGCCACCCTGGCCCTTTACCTTGAGGAGCCCAGTAAGGCCTGAGAACCAGACCTGCATGTAGCGGTTGCTGAGGGCGAAGTCACTGGTGCCAGATTCAATGATGCGGAGAGGGAACACTTCGTGCCTGCTGACGGACAGCTGCCGGCCATGCAGGTAGAGGCGCACAGAGGAAGGCAGCGTGCGGTGCCCATCCAGGCCCAGCTGCAACTGCAGCACGCCCAGACCCAGGGCTGGCAGGCAGACAGGCACAGACACCTGTGGGCATAGGAAGGGTGAGAAAGCGGGGGCACGGCATTCACCACAGGGGTGCTGGAGCACTCACTTACTAACAGAGGCCTGAGCAAGTCCCTGCACCTGCTGGGGCCTCTGCCCCTCCTCCAAAGTGGAGGTGACATGATTTGCACTTTCTTTCTCATCAGACTTTATAATTCTCAAGTGATATTTGAAAAAGTACGAAGTGGTAACCCCACATTAAGATTTCAATAAATACTGAATGACTGAGTGATAGAGCATTATAACTGCTATTTTTACCATTACTATTACCATATCAACCTTCCCCTTCCTTTCAAGGACAGACTCAAATCCCAAGAGTGCCTGTCTGCGGGGCAATCCCTCCCTCCCCAGGACACCTGTCCCCAGCCTGGGGAGGAGGCAGGGCCCCAAGCAGGGGGTTTGGAGGCTGGTACCACTGGGTGGGGAGGGGCCCACCTGCCGAGCCCTTGCCTCACCTGGTAGACATCAGGGACCACCTCGGTGGCAGAGCTCCAGTGTGCGCTGATCTGCACAGCCAGGGGCTGGCCCTCCTCCGAAAGGACGCGCACACGGGGCGAGTTGACCAGCAGGGACACCACACTGAACCGCTCCTGTTCCAGCGGGTTGAACAGCACCACAAACCTGTGCGTAGAAGGTAGGATGACGCAGGAGGCCGTGGCTCCGAGCCAGGGCAAGTGCCCTGCAGTGGCTCAGCACGTGTGGGCCCAGAGGGGCCTCAGAGCCAGGGAATGGCTCTGCCTCTCTGCACCTGGTGTGGTCCAGCTTACCTGGGCGAGGAATCCAGCTGGATTACTGTGCGCTCTGGCAGGGCATCATGACTTAAGCGAGTGTCGTCCTGGAATTCAGTGGGCCAGAAGGGAAGAACCATCATGGGCTTGGCCTCCTCCCGCCCCGCCTGTCCTGGGTGGATCAGCAGCTGCACTGGGTACAGAACTCATCGGATGGGGAGGGAGGGAGAGGAGCGGCACCCTCGTCTAGCAGCTCTTGGGAGGAACGGCATAAGCTGGAGGGTTCCCATGCAGACCCAGGAGGGGCTCACCACTTGAAGGAAGGGCGCCTCCGGGTCAAAGTGGTAGGTCTCCTTGTCCCTCAGCACCAGATAGTGAGCTGCATGAATGATGACCTGCTTCAGGTTGACAAGGGAGCGCAGAAGCCTGTGGGTGGCGCAGGAGAGGAAAGGAGAGAAGATGAGCTCGGTGAAGCTGTCTGCCTTGTCCGGAAGACAAGCCCCAGGCTGGCCTACCCCCGCACCACCCAACATCCTTTCTCTGGGACAGTGAGCGGGGGAACTGACGAGGGAGAAGAGAAGGCTCCCACCTGACCCCATAGTCCACCACCACAGCCTCCTTTGCAGTGCCAGTGATGGCGTCATGATGCTGGAAGAGCCCCAGTGTGCGCCGAGCTTCCGTCAGGAGGGTAAAGTCAGACAGCGGGTACCGGCCAGCCAAGCCAGAGTGGCGGGTATGAGCTGCAGCCAGGCTGTAGAGAACCTCTGCCCCCCTGCCCAGAGAGAGAAGTTAGCTGCCAGCCTGCACCACTCCCCAGGGCCCACCCACACTCTGCAAATCCATCCTCCCTTCCCTGCCCTGGCCTCTGGGCCCATCTATTCCCTTCTGAGCTGATCCAGCCCCTCCTTAAACCCCAAAGACTGACTCTACCCCCTCTAGCCTGGAAGCGGGGACAGGGTCTCACCGCAGGTGGGCTTCCAAGACTCGGTCTAAGCTCTTGTAGAAGGGCCGGGAAGTGTAATAGCCTGTCCAGTAATGATCCTCCCGGTCCGCATAGGAGAAGAAATCCCCGCTCAGCACAGGAAACCCTGGAGGCCGGGCCCCTGGCTCCACCCCTGTCCTCTTGTACAGGGCGTCAAAATAGTCTGAAAGAGTGCCGAACTGGGCCTGTGGGAACCCCCAAAACCCACTCCCATCAGTTCTAGAGCCTCCTGGAAATTGGCCACAGTGCTGCAGTCGGGGGTGAGGCAGGGGCTCTGGGCTCAAAGCAGGAACTGTACATCCTGCCATTCTGGATCTGACAGAAGTGAGGGAGCCTGGGATTGAATTCTGACATAAAAGGGCACCTTGCCCAAGAATTGGGAAGGAACCCCTGCTTTGGAGTTGGGAACCCAGAGCACAGATTCTCATAGGAAAGGGTGGGCTGCAGCACTGCGAAGCCCCCTCCCCAGCCAAGTGCCCCTCACACCTGCACATGGAGGTCAGGCCTGCTGTTGAAGAAGTCAAAGAGCCGCTGGTAATTGAAGAACTGGGCATCCCACTCCTGGGGCTTGTCATATCGGAAGTCATCTCCCAGAGGCACCAGGAGGACGTTGCTTCGGAACAGACGCGACTTCTTCCGGTATTGGTCCAGGAGCAGGGCTGCCCTGACGCAGGAGAAAAACATGGGCCCAACGTGAAGTCTCAGCAGGAAAACAGCGCCACGCACAGCCATCCCTACAGCAAGCTGCTCAAAGACATCCCGTCTGTTAAGGAGTGGTTCAGCGCAGACGGACACCTCTTGGGACAGGAGCCCCAGTCCCAGGGGAATCCAGTGTTCTCTGGACAGTTCTGACAGTCAGCATGTTCTATTTTATGTTAGGCTGTTGAGATCTTTTGGGATCCTGGTTCTGACACTCCCGCCTCATTCTGACCACCAGTTAGCGATGTGCCACCGGCGTTGAGTCTGGATCCCGGAGCCACATCACACCAGCTCGACAAGTACTTGCTGAGCAAGTGTGGACAAATAACTGCTCTGCGCCTCCATTTCTGGCAAAGTAAGGATAACATCAGTAGGTACCCATATGTTATGAGAATGAAAATAGATTGAATGGGCTGAGCACGGTGGCTCAGGCCTGTAATCCCAGCACTTTGGGAGGCCAATGCAGGCGGATCATCTGAGGTTAGGAGTTTAACCAACCTGGCCAGCAGTGAAACAAAATACACCTGTCTCTACTAAAAATACAAAAATTAACCAGGTGTGGTGGCACACATCTGTAATTCCAAGTACTCAGGAGGCTGAGGCAGGGGAATCACTTGAACCCAGGAGGCAGAGGTTGTGGTGAGCCGAGATCGCACCACTGCACTCCAGCCTGGGCGAGAGAGACTGTCTCAAAAAAATAAAATAAAATAAAATAAAATGAATTGAATGAATGAATACTTGTTACACACTTAAAATAGTGCCTGGTACATAATTGGAACTATATATAAACATTTATTTTCTTTTCATCCAAATTATTGGCAAAATCGTTAGAAAAAGAGAGCCCTGTGGCACACCAGCAGAAGCCCCTCCTGCTTTAATTGGCATGTTATAAATATCACAGTCCAAAGAGTCAACTAATCTACTTAGTGGCGCTGGCCCAGCGTGTACTTTTCTACTTTGTTCTCATGAGAGGATTCCTCAAATACCACTTTCCCCTAACTTAGCAGTTTAATAAGCCTTTCAAAGGAGAACCTGGTTACCTTTCATGGCCTGTTCTTGTAAACCTAGGCCAGCCTCACTGATCACAATTGCTGTTTAAGAAACATCATGCCTTCATAGCCCTAGATTCTTGCCTGGAATCAGCATTTAGACTTCTGGAAACAAAAGACCACTTTCTTTCCCTTTTGGTCACGTTTCAACTGCTGGACATTATGGAGAAATCAGAGCATTGCAACATACAAACCAGTCCAACTTGTTATATTCTTAAGGTTCTGTCTAAATTGCTGTTTGTGTCAAATCTTTAATACTTTCCCCCGAGGCCTGAATTCAGCAAGAGTGACATCCTTAGGGGTCCCTACATCCTCTCAAAGAGGACAGGTCTGTTTTCTCAGACGCTGGAGGCTGTCTTGTGGGACTGAATGTGGATCTGAATGGATTCTCGTGGTTGACTTAAAGCCCAGTCAGAACACTGGCACTAAGTGAATGTGCGTAAGCCTGAAGTTTGTAAGATCCAACAGCTCACCTGGGAATCATTCACCTCGAAGCTGTCAGCTGGCCCTGGCAGTTTGTTAGGGCACCAGAAAGCACTCATGTGAGAAAATAAAAGCATTCTGTGAAAGGTGGTTGCTAGAGCCATTCCAGTTTTACAGGAGACTTGGTAAGGAGCTGCTGATGCAGATGAGGCAAGCCTCAACTCACCATCTGAGCCCACCCTCCACACCGCACAGCCCACACCAGAGCTAGGCCTCCTGACTCCTCTGTGAAGCGAAAGGGCTGGAAGCAGATACCTCTCTGCCACATTGGCCTCTGTGATGGCCCGTGGTGGCACCTTCCAAGGGCAGTTGATGCGCCCACCAGGCAGGCGTTTAAAATCAAATTGGCAGCAGATCTTGGGATCCGGGCCACAGGTGTGGGGTATGTCATAGCTGTAGAAGGGCATCATGTGACAGAAGATGTCGGTGCTGGAATCGGAGTCTGCAGAAGACATACCATGTAGTCACCGCCAGCGGGCAGCCTCTGGACGTCAGGAGGGCAAAGATCTGCTAGGGCTAAAGGCAGCCCTGATAGACCATGAGGCTGTAGCTGGACCTAGGGCCAGAGGGAGTATGTATTCCAGAGGAAAGACACACGGGGTTCCTTGAGGGGACAGGCACACAGGGCACGCTGAAGCCCTTAGGACAGAAGGCCCTGCAGAGGCCAGAGGTCAGTATGACCCTCCCCTAACCAGAGGGTGGGACCATTTCTGGCAGTCCACACCAGTGACTGCAGGTCTGCTCTGAAGGACAGTGGGGGTCTTAGTTCTGATAGCCCTTCTCTTCCCCAGTGAAGGCTATGTTGCATTGACCCCCTCTACCCTATCTGGCCTTACCCCATGTCTGCCTCCACATGAACTCTAGGCTGTGGGTGGCAGCAAAGTGCTTCTTGATGGCATAGTGCACTCTCTGAATCAGCATGCTGGTGAGGTTGGCACGGCGCAGCAGGTAAGGCATGGTGGAGCTGTATCCAAAGGGGTCCACTGCCCAGCCAGAGCGGGGGGTTGCACCTGCGCAGGACATGGAAGCCAGAGAGGACCTCAGGGCCTGCCCTCTTGGCCTCCCAGGTGCTAGACTCCAGCTCATGTCTTGGTTGTCAGTGGACAGATGACATCACACCAGGCCCACATGGTGGGATCTGCCCAGAAAGGAACCACCCCTGCTATAGCACTGTGGGCCCAGGCCAGGGGGCAGATCCCCATGCCTGTGCCTGGACTTACCAAGATTTCTCTCCAGCCACTGGTGTCCTTCGATGAGCTGGTCAATCAATGCAAAGTAGTGGGAGTTGGCCTCATCCGGCATCACCCAGCCTCCTGTCGCAATCTCCAGCTGCCCGTTTCCCACCAGCCTATAGTTAAAGACTCACACTCAGGATAGAGTAGAACACTCTGCCTAGTCCTGCCAACCAGATGTCAGGGCCTGTGTGCACGGGCCTCACGGAACCAGTTCTCCCAAGTTCACGACCAAGAGAACACACACTCGCCCTCCTTTCCCTGCAGCCAATCTCACACTGTCCTGGCCCTGCTTATCTCGGGACCTCTATCTGTTCTTGCCTTCTCTCCACCATCACTCATCTCTGCCACAGCTCCCTGGGACTCTCCCTGCCACCTTGGCACCCACAACTTAAGGTGAGACCCATCGACCCAGCCTGGGGCTTGCACGAGGCCCTTCCAGTCTCCCTGCCTGGTACTGGCCTTCGGACTGCAGCCCTCTTCTGGGCATTGATGTTGTCCCACCACTTGGCAAAGAAGGAGACCTCTGCCCAGAGGAAGCGCCGCCGAGGGTCTTCCTGTAGCTTAGACACCATGCTGTTGAGGATGTGCTGGGTCTGCTCTGTGTAGTACTTGTCAAAGGTCTTGATCCAGCCTGGGGAGCCAATGTAGGGTCCCCTGAGGATGCCACCATCTTCTTTGATGTCCCTCCCTTGCACTGGCCATCAGAAATCCCACTCCACACTCCAGCTCCCAGGAGTCTGCAGGGTCCTCACCTGGGTCATTGTGAGAGTGGGGCACCACAAACACCTGCAGGTCTTCAGCATCCCAGTCCTGCGGGTCATAGGAGATGTCGAAGCCTTGCCTCCACACACCACCATCCACGTTGTCAAACGGCAACTCCTCCGACACAGCGAGCATCTGCCAGGGGGGAGGCAGCTCAGTGTCCCATTCGTGGCTGCAGGTCCCCGCCGGCTCTGATCCTTACCTGCAACTCTGGCTTCTGGCCCCGGCCCCCCAAAGCAAACTGGCAGTCCTGAGGGGAGATGGAGAAGAAGCTGGGCCGGGGCTCTGGCGGCACTACCCAGGAGCCGTTGACTGTGTAGTAGGGCAGCAGGGCGGGCGGGCCCTCTGCATTAGCCGTCAGCTCCAGCACAGAGTCCTTGATGTGGCTAATAATCTCATGGTTCTCCTCCAAAAGCTGTTCCAGCTGCTCAATGCGGTTCTGCAGCACAGAAATTTGGCTCTGCCAAAAAACCAGAAAGCAATCACCCATAGCTCCCTATGCCACAGGGAGGGTCTCTGCTTGGGGTCCACCACCTGAGGCCCGACTCTAATTCTTCCCTTATCTGTTGAAGCCAGACCATGGGCCTATAGGGACAGATGATGCCATTCAGATCAAGGGAGCTACACACAGCACCACTGAGAACTACACTCCACTTGGGCTGGGAGAACCATCACTCTAGCTCAGGGATGGCAAAGATTTCATTTCACATACCTAGTCTCAGCAATTGGTGTTGCCTGTGCTGAGAAGGATTTCATCAGGGCTTAATGGCAAAGAATCCTGTAATCAATTAGCAATGTGTGCCAAGAACTCAGGAGGGGCTGGGCACAGTGGCTCACGCCTACAATCCCAGCACTTTGGGAGGCCGAGATGAGTGGATCACCTGAGGTCAGGAGTTCAAGACTGCCCTGACCAACACAGTGAAACCTCGTCTCTACCGAAAATACAAAAATGAGCTGGGCATGGTGGCAGGTGCCTGTAGTCCCAGCTACTCAGGAGGCTGAGGCAGGAGAATCGCTTGAACCCAGGAGGCAGAGGTTGCAGTGAGCCAAGATCGCACCACTGCACTCCAGCCTGGGACAAACAAAGAAAAGAAAAAGAATTCAGGAGAACAGAGCAACAATATTCATTGCGTTTTTTGTTTTCTTCCTTCATTCTTCTATTTTTAAGAGATGGGGTTTCACCATATTGGCCAGGCTGGTCTCGAACTCCTGACCTCGTGATCTGCCCACCTCAGCCTCCCAAAGTGCTGGGATTACAGGCATGAGCCACCATGCCTGGCCTTCTTGCTTCCTTCTTTTTGCCATCACTGTTTTTAGCCGAGAGTTTCTACAAAACCTGACTATTGGGAAGGAAGGTTCCTGTCCTGTACTGACATTACCCTCCAGCCAGCGGCCATATCCTGACCCCAGGTGACTTGTATACAAAGAAATCAGTAACCAGGCACGACTCACCCTCGGGAAGTTCCCACCATTCTGGTGTCGGGTGGGATCGTGCTGCACTCGGTCCAGCATGAGGTAGAGCGAGAAGACTGCCACACAGAAGATGGCAGCCCCACACACTGTCACCTGCTTCTTCAGCTTCATACTGGCCTCCACGCACACCTGGCAGGGAGGACACCATCTGTAGTTCTAGCATGCAAAATCCCCTTGGCAGTCTTTCCACCAAATGCCCCAGTGAGTTCCTGAGGGCTGTTCCCAAGGAACACTTCGCCTGGCTCCAATAAAAAAGCCAGCTTTGGGCTGGGTGTGGTGGCTCATGCCCATAATCCCAGCACTTTGGGAGGCCAAGTCAGGCGGATCATGAGGTCAGGAGCTCAAGACCAGCCTGACTGACATGGTGAAACCCCATCTCTACTTAAAAAAAACAAAAATTAGCCAGGCATGGTGGTGGGTGCCTGTGATCACAGCTACTCAGGAGGATGAGGAAGGAGAATCGTTTGCACCAGGGAGGCAAAGGTTGTAGTGAGCCAAGATCGGGCCATTGCACTCCAGCCTGGGCGACAGGGGGAGACTCTGTCCCTCCCCCAAAAAAAGCCAGCTTTGAAGTGCCAAAACCCAACACCAGTTGGGGATCCTGACCTAGCCTTGATTTTTCGGTCTTTGCTGAGACTCAGAGCACAGGTAGTACAGAGCTGGCCCCACCTGGTCCTGGTAGCAGCTCTGCCCCTAGGGTGGAGAGGATGCTCGCCCTTGGCTGGTGCTATGAAAAACGGGCCCAGGATGAGAGTCCCAGCTCTGACTGGCGTTCACCACACAAGCTCCTGGTGACAAGAGCTTCCCTGCCTAGATAGGAGGGGCCTGCTCAGGCTCCTCCGACATGGGCTTCTAGTTTCAGGTGAATAAGCTGGTCTCTATTTTGTTTGATTGAAAGGTCTAGCCAGAACGCAGAGACTGATAGGTTAAGTCTTTCTCAGTGCCCTCTGGGTCAGAATGGCACTCACCTGAAACAGTGCCTGGCACAGATCCTCTCTGAATCAGAAACAGAGAATGAATTTATTTCTAATAAAGATGAAAGATGCCTGTGTTTGTAGCATAAAGCGAGCCCTACGTGTTCTCCCTCTTCCTGTGCTGATTTCTGCAGCGGGAAACTTCAGCCGCGGTTTGCAGAGCACTCAGGGGACCTCGGAAAGCCTGCAGTGATGCTGAAGTTCCCCTGGGTAGGGAGAGGCCGGCCCGGCTGCGAGGCAACATAAGACCCGTGCCCCGCGCCGCCGCCGCCCCGGGGCCCCGCTTGCCTGCTCCGGAGGGACGGAGGGCGCTAAGTGCTGAGCCCAGCGTGGGCCGGACCGCGCTCCGGAGTGCGCTCCGCGGGCCCTGGGGCCGAGCAGCTCTGTCGCCTCTGCGTTGTGCCCTACTTAGCGCGATCTGATTCTGCTCAGGAGCCTCCGGGCAATATTTTTAGCCCTTGGAGACTGGGTCCAGGCCAAGGTGGGTGGAGCTGCGGAGAGAGCCGGATCACAGAGGGCAGGCACCTGCCGCCAGGTCTGCCTCCCGACCCGTCCCGACTCCGCCGGCCCCGGGGACCGCAGAGACGGGCGCCCGGTCCGGGCCTCAGGCCGCCTCCCGCCCCCTCCCGGCCCCTCTGCCGCCGCAGCGCCGCTCGCCCTCCCGCCGCCCTCCTCCGGCGCACCCGGCCCGTTACCGTCAGCGCCCGGCCTCCGCGCGGCTCCGGGCCCCGTCGGCCGACCTGCCGGCCCTCACAGGCCAGAGGGCAGCGGCCCGCGCGCAGGCAGCGACCCCGGCGAAGGCGGGTGCCCGCCCACCCGTCACCCCCAGCTCAGCGCGCCGCAGCCGCTCTCCCGCTGGGCTCAGGGCCGCCGGCACGCTGCGCCGCGCCCGCCCCGCGCGGGTCCGCCAGCCCCTGAGGCCGCCGGGCCCACCAGCACGCGGGGCGGGGACGGCCGCGCCGCCCACCCCGGTCTGCGTACGCCCTGCGGCGCCGACAGGAGATCCGGCCGCCTCGGTCCGCTCCCGGCGCCTCCCGGGCCCGCTCCGCGGAACCGCAGTGCGCAGGCGCAGCAGCCCGGGCCGGGCCCCGGAGCGCGACGGAACCTCAGGAGCGCGCGCAGCGGGGTGTTTTCGGAATCCTGCTTGAGGCGGCACCTCGTCCCGCAGCGGCCGAAGCGCCCGCCTCCGGCTCGGCAGCCCACGGCGGGGTGCGTTTTCCGCGGCCTCGCCTTGCCTAGCCCCGGTAGCCGCAGGTTTCTGTCGTGGCGCCTCTCGGGCAGAGGGGGTGCTGCCTTCTGCTGATACAGGCGGCCCTCTCCCCTCCGTGCCCGCTCCCTGCTCTGTTTCCTGCCCGCGAGAGGAGACGCAGACTCTTGATTGTTCTCCTTCGACTGGGCGGGCGTCTAGGTTGTTTACAGTTCCAAAGGATAATCCATACTGCAGGAGACATCTCCATGAAGTCCACATTCTTCTTTTCTTTTACTTTTTTCTCGAGACAGAGTCTCGGTCTTCTGCCCAGGATGCGATCCTCGGCTCACTGCAACCTCTGCCACCCAGGTTCAAGTGATTATTCTGCCTCAGCCTCCCGAGTTGCTGGGATTACAGGCGCCCGCCACCACGCCTGGCTCATGTTTTGTATTTTTAGTAGAGACAGGGTTTCACCATGTTGGCCAGACTGGTCTCGAACTCCTGACCTCAGGTGATCCACCCACCTCGGCCTCCCAAAGTGTTGGGATTACAGGCGTGAGCCACCTTGCTCAACCTCATTTTGGTGTTAATCTTAATTTTTAAGGACTCTTGGTTCTCTGGTGTTTTTTTTTTTTTTTAATTGAGGCACAAATCTTAAGTTTACACTATGTAGTATAAATCTTAAGTGTACAGCTTGATGAGTTTTGATAAATACATACACAAGTATAATCACCACCCAGATCAAAACGTAGGACATTCTCATCTACCCAAAAGGTTCCCCTCTGTCAAGTGGTCAAGCAGTCCCTAAGCACAGCATAGTGACTGTCAGCCTGTGGTCCAGCCTTGCCTGTGTGGCCCATGCACAGACATACATGGTTGTGAGGGCACCATGGTGAACCTTTTTCCCTACATCTTCACATCCCTTTCCATCGGCACACTGCAGACATAAGCACTGCTTTGACTTCTCTGTAACTTAGTTTTCCCTGTTCTTGAACTTCATAAAATAGAATCTTAAGTATGTATTCTTTCATGTCAGGCTTCTTGACTATGTGGTTTTTTTTTTTTTTTTTTTTTTTTTTTTTTTTTTTTTTTTTTTTTTTTTTTTTTTTTTTTTTTTTTTTGGAGACAGTCTTGCTCTGTCACCGAAGCTGGAGTGCAGTGGTATGATCTCAGCTTATTCTAACCTCTGCCTCCTGGCCAGTCTCTGTCTCTCTCAGATCTTTAAGTTCTGCTTTTCAGAGATTAAAGGGAGCTCTTTAGCTTCCCAACCCACACAGGTACAAAACCAAAACCTGGCAAAGACCTTATGTCAGGGAGACCAGCTGTTTCTTCATTCCAGGCCTTCCCTCTAAACACTGCAAGACTGTGGGACTTGCCTTCCCAGCCTCCTGCACTGCCTCAGAACTCAGCTAATGTTCCGTGGGAAAAACGCTCTACATTTTGTGCTCCTCTAGGTCCTGATCTACAGCAAGTCCTTGTAACCACCAAATACTGTTCCTTTCTCTTTTCCCCAGTAGAGTCTCTGCTTGGGCCAAGTCTGATCCTCAGCAATGTCCCAAATGGGCAAATGTTTCAGGGAGGAAAATAGTTGCCTATCACTAGTTTAACTCAGAAGGGCTCTTTCCTCCTTGAAATTTTAGTCCATTCAGTCTTTATGTGACCACTCTTCATTCTCTTTAAAAATAAGACATTTTCTGCTGGGTACAGCGGCTCACGCCTGTAATCCTAGTACTTTGGGAGGCTGAGGCAGGTAGATCATGAGGTCAGAAGTTCGAGACCAGCCTGACCAACATGGTGAAACTGTGTCTCTACAGAAAAGATAAAAATTGGCCAGGCGTGGTGGCACATGCCTGTAATCCCAGCTACTCAGGAGGCTGAGGCAGGAGAATTGCTTGAACCTAGGAGGCAGAGGTTGCAGTGAGCTGAGATTGCACCACTGCACTCCAGCCTGGGTGACAGAGTGAGACTCTGCCTCAAAAAAAAAAAAAAAAAGACATTTTTATCTTAGCTGTTTTTTCCTAGCGGTTGCAATGCAAGTGGTGGCATGCAGAGACCTACCACATCCTACCCAGCAGAAGTTTTTCAGTTCTGCTTTCTACCACTTCCATTGGATTATTTCACTTCCTCATATTTTCATTTAATCACACTACAACTCTCAACTTCCTCTTGTTTAAACAAGTTATAGGGCTCACTGTCATCTCTTTCAAAATAGATGTTATTATTATTATTATATTGAGTCAGTTTTGCTCTTGTTGCCCAGGCTGGAGTGCAATGGTGCAGTCTTGGCTCACAGCAATCTCCGTCTCCCAGGTTCAAGCAATTCTCCTGCCTCAGCCTTCAGAGTAGCTAGAATGACAGGCACCCACCACCATGCCAGGCTAATTATTTTGTATTTTTATTAGAGACAGAGTTTCACCAGTTTGGCCAGGCTGGTATCAAACTCCTGACCTCAGGTGATCCACCTGCCTCAGCCTCCCAAAGTGCTGGGATTACAGGCGATGTTAACTATTTCCTGAACTTTCCTGAGGGATGGCCATTTCACTGCAAGCTTCTCACTGCTTTGTTCTTCTGTATTACAAATGTTTCCCACTTCCTGCTTTTTAGTATGTTCACACTTCTTACCTTCTCAAACTTCGCCTTTAGTGATGTATTTCAAATGACTTTATAAATTTCACTGGGATTTAGGGGAGGAGGTGAAGGCTCCCCAGTCTGCCATCCTTTTCCTCAATAAATTTGTTTTGAGAAACAGCTCCCTCGAAAGCATTTTCTTCCTTGTCAGCCACATCAGTCTCCTTTGAGTGGAGCTCTCTTCTCGTCTCCTCTTGAATTTTTTTTTTTTTTTTTTTTTT